AATTCAGTTAATACTGCAAGGCCGTTTTTATTGTGAATAATAATAAACCAATGATGATGATGATGATGATGATACTGTTTATGACATGAAATCTTCCGTGCTCACCATCAGGACACGCTCCCTTCTTGAAGACACAGTAGCTCCCTGCTGGCCACTCCCCGCTACCGCCGTCAGTGGACGTCTGACGACAAATATGAGATCTTTTCTGTGTGGTCATTATTCTCTTCAATACCTACGCACCATAAAGACTTGTTATATAAGGGACTGTACGATATTTACCGGGGGGGAGGGCTGGTGCACTGGGGGGGAGGGCCATTGAAAAATTTTTTGGCCTGGGGGGAGGGCCATGGAAAAAAATTTTGAGCCGGGGGGAGGGCCATCGAAAAAAAAAATTGGCCTGGGGGGGAGGGCCACCGAAAAACTTTGTAAAATATGGCGTCGCGTAGTACCGAATTACAAGAAATACGCCGTAAATTCCCGAGTATAGTACGCACTTTTTACATTTTTCAAAATCCCAGAAGTGTCTCGCGGGCCGTCGCCAAAGTCGCGGTGCGTACTTTATTTGAGTTTTCCGCCGACAAATCCGTGGACGACTCAGGAATATAGCGGAACACCGGCACGGGGAGCATGGAACATCGATCGTTTGTAGCATGTTTAGATAAGAATATTGACGAGTGGAAATAAAGTTAAACTTCAATAAATGAACATATTTCCTGTGACTTTCGTCGATATTTTGTCAACAACAAGTTGCGGTAAAAGAAGAAGTCAAGTCACCCACGGTAAGAAAATGTAGGTCTCTGGCATGCAATGACGCCCGGCGCTTTGTCATGCCGACAGGATCGTTCCCCAGCTAGCCGGCGCCGATCTCAGTGGAACCCCGGCAAAAATATAACCTCCCGTAAGTACACATACAATTGTAGGGTTTATGAGTAATATTTGAAATGGTCCGCAAGCCGTGAACGTTCTTGATCGTCGTAACGTAACATGTGATAACATAACAGTTGTGCCTCGAGGCTCGACTGACGGTCATCATTTCCAATACACTTCCGGCTTGAGTTCAACTCAGCAATCTTCAACAAAAATTATGCCCATGGCCATGTCGTTTCAAAGGTTCAGAAATTGTTAACCATGTTTCACTTCGTATCACAAATATTTTTAAATCTTGATAAATGCCACAGGAAATCACTCTGTAGCGGGCTACACCAGCCAGTACGACGTGAAAATTCCAGCTAGATGTACTCCTACTCGACTGTTCGGCAAGCTACAATGATAGGGGCGGAGTTAACTTAAAATGTAGTCTTTGATGAAATCTTACCGCCCGGCCGGTGGGTGGGGTGTTTGGCGCGCCGACAGGCAAAGTACACCTACAGCTGAAGATCACAGAGAGGGCCGTGGCATGCGCAGCGCTGAGGACAGCTTTCCAGAACATGGACCCCGAGAAGGAAGTCTTTCTTTCCTCTGAACAGACTGTACTTATAAATTTTACGGAGTACAAATTAATACATGTGTTTATTCCTTTGATTTTGTGACAAAAATATCTATCACATAACGAGAGATTACTTGAAACGCAGTCAAACTTGTCACTTTCTCCTGTTCGGAATCGCAAGTCCCATTGATCCCAGTAGTCTTCTGTTGTTGTGTTAATTGGTTTCGGTGTCAAATTTTAAATTCGGTAGCACCTCTACACCCAAATACTCCGCCCAGTTCTCCGCCTGTATGATTGTTGCTCTCCATGGGTCGATCGCGCGGGCGCTATTAAAGATGCGTTCGGTGCATTTCGTATTAAAAATATTAAAGCTACGTACTTGTGCATCAACATTCAACTACCCCCCGTTACCGATAAAATCAATATTGAAATATTGTCTTTTTTTCACGAATCTTTATTGACCATTGCTTGCTTGATCACCAACACTCCAAAGCTGGATCCAAATCTGTGCGTTTCGCCGCACTTGCCTTACCTTTCGATGCGGTGGTGACGTCTTGCAAGTCGGCTGCGGCCGGCGGTGAAAAACAAGCCCGAACTTGAAACGTTTCGCGCTACGTTACCATACCATCACGTAGTACACGGCATAAATCTAGTTTTTAACAATTTTAAATTTGTTTGGAACGACGAACTGTCTTTAAGACACACATACTACATGTTCACTGTGGTACCGGCCGTGCGTAGAAGGGGTGCGTACTTAATTCGAGTTTTTCCATTTTACGTTTCAGACGGGAATATTTGTCTCCCACCAGCCCCAAACCGGGGGTGCGTACTTTAATCGGGATGCGTACTTCATTCGGGAATTTACGCAGGGAGAAAGAGACATGGACTTGAAAAATGGGGGGGAGGGCCACCGAAAAATTTTTTGGGCTGGGGGGAGGGCCATTGAAAAAAATTTTGAGCCGGGGGGAGGGCCATTGAAAAAAATTTTGAGCCGGGGGGAGGGCCATGGAAAAAATTTTTTACCGGACCATTTTGCACCAGCCCTCCCCCCCCGGTAAATATCGTACAGTCCCGTAGCAGAATGTGCCCTTTACAACATGCCCCCCCCACACACACACACACAAAAAAAACATGGTTAGAAATAGATCGGGAGCAAGGTCTGCTGGTGTTCGGCGAGGTCGGCTACAGTGTTCGGCTGTGAAGTTGAATGTTCAAGCGGTCATCTTCAAAACATTCGCAAGTGGTCTGGGTTAAGCCACGGTTAAGTTTGTGGTTGGAAATAAGTCAGCGGTGATCAGATTTTCCTACATTCAAATAGAGAGTTGGGTATGCCTATTTTTCCGGGTTGGATTGTTTCTAAACTTCAGACAACTCTTCCCAACAGTTATAAAAGATGGCGAATCTTGACGAAGAGAAAGCTCTCCCACCAAACGATTTGCTGCCCGGAGGTCTTGCTCCGATCGAGATCAATGCTATCAAGGTTAGACAAATTTTTATTTTATTTCTATTTTTTTAAGTTTTTATGTGTTTGTTTAATATGAGCAACATTTACGGCCTCTGTTTAAAATGCCACCTATATTTTACTTCCGGGTTCAGGCGCATTGTTTACACGGGTGCTGAGCTGTGGGTTTGTAAGTAGGTTTTTAGGGCAAATTAAGAACGCATTAATAACGTGTTTATTGTAAACCTGTTTCATGATGATTGTTCATCATATAAAATAGATAATAAACGACCAATTTCTTTTGTGCCCTAAGATTTATTTTCATATCAGCTTCGTGAAAAAAATTGTTTGCTATGTTCCATTTTAGCTGAAATCTTTTTCTACTTCCTCATCTTCTTCCCCCGTTACAAACAAATAATGTCAATAACCTTAATCAGAAGTCTGTCACCATGGTAACGTGTGCGTGCTGTAACAGACACCCTGTGGTGTTGGGTTACATTATGTAAAAAGAAAAAAAAAGGAAGAGGCTGAAACATACGAAACTGTGAAATACATTTGCTTTGAGTGTTTGATTTGATTTGATTTTTTGAAATTGCAACAGTGTTATTAAGAATATTAAGAATAAACAGTCCAGTGTTATTTCTGGATAAACCAGGTAAAGCTTTCTAAAGTGTTTTTGTTTAGTTTTATTTTGTAAATGTTTTTAATACAGCGAGAGCATAGAGCAGTAAATATAAAGCGTCAGAAGGCAGTCATCTGCCTGACGAGTGTTCTCGTGCTTCTGCTCCTTTTTGTGGTCTGTATCCTCCTCGCCCTCTACCTTCATGGTGACTCCGATGCTGCAAATGAAGACGTATACAAGACTTTCAAACAAACCAAAGGCATCCAAACCTTGCACTCTTTTGAACGCTAAAAAAATAGCTACAGCTTCAATGTACTGTACTACTAAAATATATCTAAACATTTCTAAGCTAAGCTGTACTTGTCTACAGTAATGCCGAGGTGTACATTAAGCTCTAGATGTCTGCAGTAATTTGGAGGTATTAATTTAAGCTTTAGATGTGTACAGTAGTGTGAAGATTTCTATAGTAATGCTTAATAGTATGTAAATAAACTGTAGATGACTACACTAATGTGGAGCAAGTGATGGAACTGAAGATTTCTACAGTAATGTGGAGATATATAAATTGTAGATTTCTACAGTAATTCTAATTTATATAAGGTGTGCATGTCTACAGTAATTTGTAGGTATATAAATTGTACATGTCTACAGTAATGCTGAGGTATATTAGCTCTAGATATCTGTTTAAGTAGATGCCTACAGTAACACTGATGTATTTATATAAGCTGTAGATGTCTACAGCAATGTGGAGATATGTAAGCTTTAGATGTCTACAGTAATGCCGAGGTACATGTACATAAGCTTTATATGTCTACAGCAATGCAGAGGTACATGTATATAAGCTTTAGATGTCTACAGTAATGCTGAGGTACATGTATATAAGCTTTAGATGTCTACAGTAATGCTGAGGTACATCTATATAAGCTTTAGATGTCTACAGTAATGCAGAGGTACATGTATGTAAGCTTTAGATGTCTACAGTAATGCTGAGGTACATCTATATAAGCTTTAGATGTCTACAGTAATGCTGAGGTACATCTAAAAGCTTTAGATGTCTATGGTAATGCTGAGGTACATGTATATAAGCTTTAGATGTCTACAGTAATGCTGAGGTACATCTATATAAGCTTTAGATGTCTACAGCAATGCAGAGGTACATGTATATAAGCTTTAGATGTCTACAGCAATGCTGAGGTACATGTACATAAGCTTTAGATGTCTACAGTAATGCTGAGGTACATCTATATAAGCTTTAGATGTCTACAGTAATGCTGAGGTACATGTATATAAGTTTTAGATGTCAACAGTAATACTGAGGTACATGTATATAAGTTTTAGATATCAACAGTAATGCTGAGGTACATGTATATAAGTTTTAGATGTCAACAGTAATATTGAGGTACATGTATATAAGTTTTAGATGTCTATGGTAATGCTGAGGTACATGTACATAAGCTTTAGATGTCTACAGCAATGCCGAGGTACATCTATATAAGCTTTAGATGTCTACAGTAATGCTGAGGTACATGTATATAAGTTTTAGATGTCAACAGTAATACTGAGGTACATGTATATAAGTTTTAGATGTCTACAGCAATGCTGAGGTACATCTATATAAGCTTTAGATGTCTACAGTAATGCTGAGGTACATGTATATAAGTTTTAGATGTCAACAGTAATGCTGAGGTACATGTATATAAGCTTTAGATGTCTACAGCAATGCTGAGGTACATCTATATAAGCTTTAGATGTCTACAGTAATGCTGAGGTACATGTATATAAGTTTTAGATGTCAACAGTAATACTGAGGTACATGTATATACGTTTAGATGTCAACAGTAATACTGAGGTACATGTATATAAGTTTTAGATGTCAACAGTAATGCTGAGGTATTCATGTATAAGCTGTAGATGTCTCCAGTAGTGTAAATACACTTATTAAGTCTACAGACTGAGATACTTATTATGTCTACAGTAATGTGGAGACAAACTTTAGATTTCTACAGTAATGCTTATGTATATGAGATGTAGATGTCAATTTGTAGATATATACGCCGTTATAATAGATGTCTTTACTAATGCTGAGTTATATAAGCTGTAGATGTATATGTAACACTAATTGGGAGCCTAATAAATCAAATGAATGTGGCGATCTCTTGTTAAAAATACAAGTTTGTATGGAAAACCCAAAAAATACACAACACTCTGCAGCAACGTAGAAACATGATGGGATAACCATTTTGTGGCGAAGACATATTGTGTTCCCTCATGGTTCTTCTTCTCCTGCCATTTATTATGGGTTCACCACACCACGAAGTGGTGGTGAACCCATATTGCTTTTTCTGATGTTTCTTCTCCTCCTTCTCCTCCTTCTTCTTCTTCTTCTTCTTCTCCTGCCATTTTTTAAATGGATTCAGCTTCTTCATTTTAGGGCCTAAGGTCCTGCAATTTGGTATGGAGGTACAGTGGGCAAATACCCCTAGGCCTTTTTTTAAATTTTTGTGATACAGGCTTTTAGAATGGTTTTATTTGAGTTTTTTTGGCTGTGTTATAGCAAATGTATTACTGTGTTAGTGTGTGCCGTGTTTACCACGTTTGGGCATGAGTCATCACAATGGAATGCAGGGCATCAACCAATAGGCATGCAGCTTTCCTCTATACTTCTTGCTGATTGGCTGTTGGGATTTAACTTGATTAACACCTGCACAGAGCATTTCCACCTCCACAGAGCATTTCTTGCTGATTGGCTGTAGGGATTTAACTTGATTAACACCTGCACAGAGCATTTCCATACTGACAGTATGTCTTTATTCAAGTGTTTTGGTAGGTATTTCAAGCTTTTCTGCTCCAGCATTGGAATGCGGGGCGTGAACGTTTTTTTTTTTTTTTTGAAAATCAACAGTTTGCATTATGCAATTAAAAATCCTAACCAATAAAGTAGGGAATAGCTATCCAACTGTTGTTTTAGTTGTATGTTACTTCAAATTATAGTTATATCAATGTAAATCATTGTTTTCCCTTGTGTTTCTCATTCTTTCCCTGCCATGTCGTAAAATGTGGTGAACCCATCGCTGTATTTGCTCCAAAGCAAATATTGGCCTTTCTAGTTTAAATTGATTCATCTCTGCCATTTTTGGGGCAAGTAACAAGGAATTTGGCAGGAAAGTAGAGTGGGCAAATGCCGCCAGGCGTTTTTGTTTTTCATTTCTTTGAAAAACTTTTTTATTTGTTTTTTTTTTTGCCATTTTCATGCAAAAAAAATATACATTTGGGATCTAGTGGCCTTGGTACTAGAACCAAATGACCTAAAAATTTGGTATGGGGATACCTTGGAAACATATCTACAAAACCCCATTTAGGTTTTTGACATACGCCACTTTGAAATTGTAAAAATAGGGCTTTTTGGCTTTTTTCGGACCAAAAATGTAGATTTTTGGCTCCTGTGTCCTAATATTAAATCTGAATGACCTGAATGTATGGGGATACCTTGGACACATGTCCAAAGAATTTCATTCACGGTTTTGACATACACCACTTTAAAATTATGTAGAATAGGGCTTTGGGCTTCTTTATACCCACTGCTCACTTAGCTACTAGTAATATCATTAAGATCCATTCACGACGTATGGAGATATGCTGTAGACATACAATCGACAAATGCACCGAGAGTCTGCTGTAGTACGATAGAGCAAAGCCATAACTTGAACTACATTTTCCAGTTACCCACATGCAAAAACACATCGATATCCATCCACAAATACTCGACTTACAACGTAAACCTACATGTGGTCCCACAACACAGCTGCTCCACCTGGCTCAAACCGAAAACACATTACCTTTCTTTTCTTTTATTTAATTTAATCCAGTTTCACCTGAAAACAAGGCTCGTGAGAGCCACTTGCATTGTTTGGGTTACAGTGATGACTGCGTGGTCAGATATTTGTTCACCCTAGATGTAAACCGTTGGAGGTCGTACCTAGTGGGGAAACATTCACGGGGAAGCTTGTTCCACAGTAAAGTGGCTCTGGGGAAGAAACTGTCAGCATGAAATTTTCTCTTGAGTGATCAGATGGAGTATTGAGGAATAAAGGGTGATTTTCTGCTGTTAAGGTGGCTAAGCGTGTTCTTGCAGAGAATGTTCGGAGTGGGGGTACAAGGGAGTGAAGTCCAGCAGAGCATCTGCCATGGAAATATCGATAGAGTAATGCCAGGCTTCCAACACAAGCTTCTGACGAAAACAATTATATTTTGAGCATTTGTGACGCAAGAGAGACACCCCCCCCCCCAAAAAAAGGAAAAATATTATTAGTCAGTGTCACATTTATCACTAAGTCTAGTTAATGACATAAAGACAGAGGATTTGGGGGCGATGTGTTGTATATCAGTTAAATAAATAGACGGAAACGACGCGACTGCCCCGAATGCTGGCCAAACTACTTCGCACCATCCCGACCTCTTTGAACCATTTTACAACTCTGCCCGAATGAAAATTTGGAGCGTCAGGATTCCATTACCACCCCCATGAAACTCCTTCCTCTTCGCCCCCGCCGTTCTGCTTCGCCCCCGCCCCGTTCTGCTTCGCCCCCGCAAAAAATCTGCTTCGCCCCCGTCGTTCCTCTACGCCCCCGGCGCAATTCTGCTTTGCCCCCGTCCTTCTGCTTAGCCCCCAATGGCGGCACAGCTCACAGTCGACACGAAAATCGTCTGCAAAATAACAATAAAGGCTGTGCCGCCAAATTTAAAGTAGCCCATGCTCCGGCAAACATTCTGGACCACCTTTCTGCCAAGTGGCGTTGCACAAATCCTTCCCATTCAAAAGTTTACCCCTACCTCACGGCCCGTCAGTGGTTCTTACGTTTATAAGTACTGGCGGGAAATTTCACTCACGGCTGGACTGACGCTAGGCTGATCGCCATGGAAGGTGGGTACTAATTAAACCAACTTGGATAATGGCGGGATTTTGTATCAGCCAATTGAACAGTAACTAATCGTGTTCCTTTTGATACAAGTAGACAATAGTGAAAAAATGACAGCTATCAATAATAGCGTTAAGTTAAAAATTGTGCTGCAAATACTAAGTAGAATTTATAAGGCAATACCTTGCTGTGTGAGGTGACATGGATTTAGAATGCTGTGTAAAAACTAGACGAGACCACTGACGGGCCGCAGATTTTTTGCGGGGGCGAAGCAGAACGGGGCGGGGGCGAAGCAGAACGGCGGGGGCGAAGAGGAAGGAGTTTCATGGGGGTGATTACGTACAATCATATCATACAGTGGAAGTTGTACATTCTGGCATTTGTTATAATGTTCTTGGACTTTGTCAATATTGTCATATATGGAATTATTAATTAATGTGTTTATTGCAAATTCTTGCCCGAGGGCTAATTGCAGGAGCAAGAGAAACATATGGTATAAAAAACAGACAAAGGGTACACATAGAACTACATGTACTGATAACTACGAGGAAACTACTGGGTTTGATTTCTTTTTTGAAGACAGAGGAAGACAAAGGATCCCACTTTTTCTGTAATTTGTAGGTTTTCAGATGTTAAGAGAAGAGTCTGAATTTATAAGGCTGGATTGGAACCTGGTCTGCTGAGGTTGGGGGCGTTTCCTAATCAGTCGGGAAGGTTAGCTGAAAGTCAGTTGATGTCGGTGGTATTCGACTAATGTCCAGGTAAGCCGAGGTACGGGAGGTGGAGAGTTTCCCGCGCGGGAA